TGACCCTCTAAATGCAATCAGCAAAACATGAGCTGTGCAGAGTTCACACAAGCTGCATATAAAAGATTGAGGACAAAGTATTTTGCCAAGAGTCAATTCCTGCCGCACTTATTCAGGCAATATTCCCACTGGGGCATCCTGGAGGTTTGCCTATATAATGACTGCAAGTTTTGGACCCCAAATCAAATGCAAGCATGATTGTACCTCTGAAAAACAATATTTTTCTCATTTGTATCATTGTCTTGAAAGCACATGCTATTGCTGTATATCACAGCCACTTAATGACTTATTGGAGCTGTATCTATAAACTTAGAACAGTTTCAAATACATTTTATCCACATGTTTATTTTAAAAACCAGGGAAGAATTTCAGTCTAATTAGTCCCATACATAACAGCATTGTGCTGTTAGAGTGAAGTGATTCTTATTTTAAAAAACTAATCATTCAGTAGCTTCCAAAATAAACCCCAAATTTTGCCCTTGAAAATGTCCATATGTTTTAAACAACATTACTCAGTGAAAATGTCAGTCTAGCAAGGAAATATTTTATTCAGTTTAACATGGCCCTCTACTGGCAAAAACAACCCCCCAAAATTTATCAGTGTGAACCATTTTGTAAAATTCCTGGAACTGAGTATTTATTATAAGCACATGTTATAGCCAAGTTATTTCATATCTTAAGAAGATACACCTGGGAGCTCTGGAAATGAGCAAAAGGAAAATATTGAAGGAGAAGCAATTGGGTCATTATTTTATCCCATCCAAAAGTTGCTTTGCCAGGAATACTACTTCCTTTACTCTGTAAATGCAACTCTGGATATCAGTTCTACACTGAAGATAAAGACTAACTGAATAGAACAATTCATCGAGGGCCAGATTGTGAGACCCTTATTCATTTTGAGAAGTACCTTACTCCATAAGTACCCCATTGATTTCAGTGAGACTATTTGTGGAGTATAGTAAGGGTAGGGTTATCATAATCTGTCCCTAAGTGTGAGAAGGGCAAAGTATGAATGCTAATTACTAATAACAACCAGCTAAGTAGAGCTGTTTCTGCCTCTCTCCTTTCCCAAATATCCACCCTCTCAGTTCAGTGCTGCTGCAATTAAAGGCAAGCAATGAAATTTGCCTCTATTGTTGCATGCAGTAATTAACTCTTCCTATTTGTATTATGTATGAGTGACAAAGAAACAAAAGGACATGGTGAACTGTTGGATTTAACAATGTAGATAAGGATGAATTATTATAATCAATTAGCGCAATCAAAGAAAATAATGTGTGATGAATTTGGTGCTGCACAGACCTATTGTATGTGCACACCATCCAAACCTAGGCTGGCTCTGGAAAAACAAACAGTATCATTTCGTGGCAAGCCTATCAAACATGCAGTTCAACAACAGCATTTGTTCTCTCGGCGTCTCAATGCTAATAGCCCATCTTTCAGCAACATAATGTTTATCCACTGTTTAAGTATCCAAGCTGCTTTTCACAGAGTTCACATCATCCATAGCCTATAGACAATTTTACTGACAACTTTTAGCACCTTCTGCTGCAATACAAACCATATTAGCATGAATCACCTGAATGCAAGTCAAAGAAATCGCAGCGAGATTTCTAGGTAATTTTCAGATTATAGCAAGCCATTCCTCACCCTGAAAATACCTTGATTAATTTACACAACTATCAGGAAATATCTAAAGTAATCAAGGTTTCTGCATACCACACATCATTAGACACATGTGGATCAGGGCATTGTAGGCATTTATGGCTAATGTCCTATTTCTATTGTACCTGTATTTTATTGTATATAATGATGTAAGCAGAGCTTACAATAAAACTGCATTTTAGAAGCTCCACACTTCCACAGCCAGATTAGCATTTTTGTTTTACCGTGGTCCTAATCCAGCAAGGTGCAGAACTCCCTGAACTCTCACTGAAATCAGTGGGAGTTGAGCATCTTGCAGCACCAGTCCCTGTAACGAGGGTGCTTAAGTCTTTAGCTAATTCTGCTGCTCCCTTTGCACAACTGTACAGTGTTTTGGTCCAAAATTTAGTCCCACCTGTCAGGTTGACTGGCTGAAGTCTGCACTTATTCCATTTCTTTTCAAATTGCAAAAGAGCCTGAAGAATAGAAATGTTGCTGGCAATTGTCCACTTTAACACCATACTAAAATGATAGACGATTATGCATATGGCATCCTTGGGCACATTTTCAGGGGCCAACCCTGCAGTCCTTACCAAGGCAAAAGTCCAACTAAAGTTGTATCTACAGGACTGGGATTCTCTTGTGTATCCTAATTTGGTTGAATGAAATACAAAATAGGACTGTATATTATGTTGCCAACATAAGGTAAGGAAAATAAAAGAAAAATGCCCCCAAATTCTCCAGGCGTTTAGGGTCTGATCCCGCTCCTATTGAAATCAGTTAGAGTTCTGCAATTGACTACAATGGAAGTAGGACTGGACTTTGTGCCTCACATAAGTGCTGCTGAATCTCAGTCTCTGCTCATTTAAACCCCAATCCTCTAAACACTTGCACATACGAGTGATTTTATGTGGGTGAGTAGCCCCATAGAAATCAATGGAGCTTTTCATGTGCACTTATGCATAAACCCACACAAAAGAGCCAGAGGAAGAGGGGGCTGTTGGTACCCCCTTGTAGCTTTTAGCCCAGTGGTTAGAGAGCAGCATTTCTCAACCTTTTTGATACCAGGGGCCAGCTTGCTGACTTCCTAAACTGTGTCTGGGAGATCTCAGTGACCCCATTGAGAAAGAATGGGTTAGAGCACTCACCCAGGGTGTGGAAGACCTGGGTTTAATTCCTCTCCTCTGCCTGAAATGGACAATAGATTTGAATTTAGGTCTCTATTTCCCCATGCGGGGGGGCCCTAACCACTTGACTATGAGGTATTCTGGGACAGGGCTCTCTCAGTGTCTGCTATCGAAGCGGTTCCACTGTGCATAAATACTTACATGTGCATTCGACCAGAGTAAGTGAGAATGACTCAGTGGCTTGGGCACTCACATGGGAGGGGGGAAAGCCAGGTTCCAACCCCCCTGGTTCCAATGCATATTTAATTGTTTATACACAGCTCCAACAGGGGACAGTGAGAGACCTGTCCCAAAATACTCCCAAACTGAGCAGTTAGGGCACTCTTCAGTGAGGGGGGGACCCAAATTCAAATCTCTTCTCCACATCAGGCAGAGGAAGGAATTTAAACGGGTTCTCCCACACCCTCAGTGAGTGCTGTAACCACTGGGCTAACTGTTATAAGGGGAGGGGAAGTTACCACTTGCTTCTTCATGGGGTTTGTTTGTTTGTTTGTTTTTAATAAACATGAGGAAGTGCTTAGGTGCTTCTCTGCAGGAGAGGTTCCATGGCAGTGAATGAGTGCAGATAGGTGCCTCCCTCCAAATCAGATGTAGATGCCTAACTCTTTTTGAGGGTTGCGGTGTAACCTACACCCCTCTCCTCCATATTTCCTAGTGGCTAGTTTAGGCAGCTTCCCTCTAAGTGTGCTGGCTTTTGTGGATCCCATTCTTAGCTGTCTAACTGTCCCTATGCATTGTACAGGGAGCCTGGATGTCTAACTTAGGGCTATACATTCCAGTAGGGGGCAAAGCACCACAAAAATTAGGTGCTGCCATGCTTAGTGTTGCAATGCCTACAGCCTCTTTTAAATCTAGCCCTAGGACACCTATCCTGAGCATGGATCCACCTAGACAGACCCTTACAGATTGTGGGGCCTTAGTAATGAGGCCAAAATGAGTGGCAAGGAGGGAGCAAAAGGAGACATTTGGTAGTACTTAGAATGAAGAAGGGATCTTGCCTATTTATACTGAATTTCAACTGGGGTCAGATGTAGTATATGCTGACTCACCCTCAGATGTTTGACAACGGGAGCTTCCTTCCACCTCCTCCCTCAGGAAGAGTGCTTTGTTTTCCCAACAGATATATCAGTAAGTAGAGGAAAGTAGTAATAAAAAAAAGATGTCTAGAGCTTTCTATGGCCAGTATTGTGATCAGGTGGCTTTTCTGGGGAATAGACGGTATATCTGAAATTACACTCAATAGGGTGGTCTTCTGGTTAAGGCATGGGACAGGGAACTGGAAGATCCAGAATTTGTTCCAAGCCTTTCAACAGAGTGCCTGTGCAGTCTTTGGTAGGTCACCTCTGTGCATCAGTCCCTCCTCCGTAAAATGGGGATACTACAATTGCAACTCACAGGGTTGTTGTGAAGCTGAGTTCAGTAGTGATTGCAAAGCACATTATGATCCTTGGATGGAAGGCACTAAAGAAATACAAAGTACTATTAATAGCACTTATTAGGGCAGCCCCTTTCAGTAGTGGTTCAACATTGTTGCTTATCATTCACTGTTTACAGCTACCAAAAATAAGTAAAATAAAAATGCTACTGTTCCTGTTGTAGTAGAATACATCTCATTTTACCTAAATGGTTACAATGGATGATTTACAAACTTTTAAACTTTCTATGCTTCCAGAGCCAGTACAGAGATTAAAAGTAAAACCATACTAACTTTTCCCTAAATCTAAGTATAGATGAATAGGAAGTACAACTTCATAAGGAAAATATGTTAACTATTTGAATGAATTTTGATTGTCCTAAAATGACACTAACTTAGGAACCACCATAAAAACGTCGTCAGTCAACTGATGAAAAATATTTATGATTCTTCTTTGTTTTATAATCAGAGTGTAATTTTACACTTACATTGAAAAAAAGTCAGGTTAGCATAACCATCACATGCAAACATAAAATTTAGAATCAAAGTTGTGATTTTTCTATTACCCTTGCTATATGGGACTATTAGCCACACTTGAAACAGATTCAGATGTCTGACTGTAATTATTGCTAGTAACTGCATACTTGCTGCCATTATAATTAAACCTAAACCACAAGTAGTAATACTGAAACATAATGCAATGTTTTTAAAAGAAAAGAAGCTTTGCAAATATGATAAAACAGCAAAAGCCTTACTTGCAGTTGTTCAATTAAAACATGCCACAGTCCTAGAGAAATCAGAACCATAAGAAGTCTTTGCAGTCCAGAAATTCTCTTGAATGTATCCAGTAGTTATTTACCAAGCTTTAAAACTCTGTGGTCAGAAGAACAGGGTTAGCTTTCTAGACCATCCACAAAGTCCTACAGTAACTGCAGACATGAAGTTTGTTGGTAGTTGGCTTTTCTGCTGTTATGTAGTTGCTCGGTACTTGTAAATACAAGCTCTGTGGACAAAGTCCCAAATGACATCACTGGCAGCTGCTTATTGTTGAGTCTTTATTAACTGACTGTCAAAAAAGAAAAGAGAAGGGGAGGGGGAAAAAAGCACAACTATCTTCCCTGCAGCACAATTTGCATCTTAGTAGGAGCCTCAGTTCTACATAAGTAAATATTTCTAGTTACCCAAATTATGATTTCTGATGACCAATAGTCAGTGTGTGCATGAAAAACAGAAAATTAAGTACAGCCTAATCAACTTATAAAATGGAAAGAGGGAGATTTAAATGACAGCAGTAGCTTTATCAGGATTTATTCCTGAATACTTCTAGTATGTGTGTGCATATAGAATTACATACAGGAACATATATAAAAGGAAACCTAGAGTCGATGTCAGTATGTGCTGAAATTGAATATTCAGCTAAGTTCTCATTGTAGAAAAATAACTTTCAGAGTCAGCTCTGATGTTTTGCTTTATTTAGCACTTATTTTTATCACACCATGACTTACAAGATCGTTTCATATTTAATTTCATCGACATTTTTAAAGACTTAATAAAATCCTATTTAATCCCTCACTTTTAAAAGGTGAAAATATAAAGAGCAAGGGAGATAAATGGCAAAGGCAGACAGTCCGTCAAAACTAGGTGGTAAGGACATAAAGTACTGACCTTTCTCTCTTGGGGACTGTGGTTGAAACAAAATGGTGTTTTAAAAGTGAAATGATTATGACAGATTCTATTCAGTCCCCACCAATCTGTAGAACACACATCACAAAACTAGCACTGCCACTAATTTGGCCAAATGCCTTGTCTTGGGAATTTCTGCTAAAGGAGAAGTCTAGAGCAGGACTGGCATGAAGTCTGGATCTTGACTCCTGTTTCTCAGAAGTTGATCCTTTCAAGTCAGAACTTGGAACACAGGAAGGGCACTGTGTAAGAATTGCAACTGCCTGCACTATATCTGCAATCTGTTTATATTTCAACAGGGAGGAACTTCAATATTGGGAAATATACCTTGATTCATCTTTAGAAAACAAAAATGCAGATTCAACCACAGACTGAAAGATTGAAGAACAGTTTAGAGCCAAAATAAAGTTGTATTTTTGTTTGCAAATTTCTCAGCCACTTTCTAAGCCATCATCCTACACTCCTGCATCTCTTCAGAGACTAAAACTTGGGTCAGATTCTCAGCTGGTGGCAGTCAGTATAGCTATATCAATATACACTGGCTAAGACAAGCTATGCCAATTTACACCAGCTAAAGATCTGGCCCCTAGCCTGCCTTAATGATGAAAGGGCTCTCTTTTGCCAATATTTACCCCTGGGTTTAGTGATTGCACAACAGCAGTGTATCTTGCTATCTTGAGTAGAAGTCAAAGGGGCTGCTCACAGCAGTAAGGACTACACCAGGTAAGCTCTGTTGTCTTTTCTAATGCACTGTTTTACCTAGGACAGAAGATCTGGAACAAGAAGACAGGGTGGTCTCCTCCTGAAAATGGAGGTGATTGATGTAAAGTCTCCCTAGAATTTCTCCATGTGTGTCTGTATAGCTCCTAACCCATATAAGGCACTAGTAGTTCTACTACTATAGTATTACTTACTGCCTACCTCACAATGGTGTCGTTGCAAGCCTGCTTCCGTTAAAGTCAGGGAGCAAAATTCCCATTGACTTTAATGGAAGGAAGGTGGGTCCTAATTTGAAATAATGGGCAGGGAGTTACACGAGTAGTCCCACTGAAACCAATGGGACAATTTGCAAATGCTCACCAGTGCGAAGCCCACAATCTGACTCATAACATTTGCAAAGCACTTTGAAGATGAATATGCTTCAGTGAGAAGTGTTACAACACAACATAAGTAAAGAATGTGGATTTCAACTCCTAAGACTACTTTACACCCCAGCCCTGCAGGCAAGTGGTATAGCAGAGAATTCCACTTAAGCAAATGTTAATAGGACTCTGTACAGCTGCACTGGTCTGTTAATCAAGCCTTAGATTGTTCTAACAGGAACAAACCCATCCGTAATCCGGAGTGGTTAAATTTAGTGTAAATCTGATGCTAATTTACAATGTGATTTTCTCAGAGTTACTTGGCGCTTCCATTGCAAAGATTTATATGCATTAATAAAATTGCAAAACACAGGTTAAATTCCTACACATTTGAAAACAAAATCAGTTTGTAACCTGACACGAAGGGGAACCCACAGAAAAAAGAGTGAATCGGCATTTCATAAATTAAGACTACTAGTTTTCAAATGCTTATTCATCTAAATGAAATGATCAAAATTTATATTTTCACGAGACAATTATTGTCTCATGAACAAAAAACCACACACAAACACACACACACACAAAGACAGCACTTACAGAACAAGATTCTGTTCCCAATAAATATTTGTGTTGCTCATCCTAGTTCTGGTACATTTTACAGTATGGGTACTTACAAATCACTAGGAAACTTTAGGGCATTTCTAAGTTGGATACTGGCACACATGACCAGATCACTTCCCCAACTAGAGCAGTGCAGAGGATCTATTGGTCAGATCCCCCCTGTTGCACAGGAATAGGTTGGCCCTGGTAGAACAGGACCCCAAATCTTTTAGACCCTCTGTCACGGAGTCCCCAGGCGATGCTCTGGAACTGCTCCCCACAAAGCCAGTCAGGACTTTGGGGAGCCTCCTCTCCCTTGGAGCAGATTGTCTTCAGGGCAAGAAGCTCACACGGCTTCACCTCCTGGGTCTCTCCTGGGAGCATTCAGCATATGCCTCTCCGTGCGCTTCCCACAGCGAGTCCGCCCAGGCGGGGTCCTGGGGAAGCCAGAGGTCCTGCACGCACCCCCACTTTGCAGTCAGACATGACTCTCAGCCAGCCAGTAAAACAGAGGTTTATTAGATGACAGGAACACGTCTAAAACAGAGCTTATAGGTACAGTGGCGAACGAGACCCCTCGGCCGGGTCTATTCTGGGGTTCAGAGAGCCAGACACCCACGTCTGCCCTCACTCTTAGTCCCCAGGTAGCTCCAACTCTGAAACCCCCTCCAGCCCCTCCTTCTCTTGGCTTTGTCTCTTTCCTGGGCCAGGAGGTCACCTGATCTCTTTGCTCACCGTTAGCTATTTCCTTGCAGGGGGGGGGAAGGGGCCCTGGCCATTTGTTGTCAGGGAGACAGAGTGTCAGTGATTTATGTACACTGGCCTTTCCCCACCACCTAAAGACTTAAGAAATGCATAGGGGAAACTGAGGCACCCACACAGTATTCAGAGGAAACATTAAGAACAGTCCCACTTTGTCACACCCTCCACCTCAACTTCTTTTACATCTGGATCCTATGTGACTTGCCCAAGATAAAAATCTGCAGGTGAGACCTGAATATAGATTTCTTTATTCCTGTGCTCAGCTACCAGACTATCCTTTCTAAATAGACTAGGAAGAGATTTTCCATGTCAAGGGAGACAGGCTAGACCTCTTTCTAGGGGAGTGACCATTATACATCATTTTGCACTGTCAGAGCATTTATCAATTTAATTTCTGTTCTATGACACCACAAGACACAGCCACCTAAGCTTGTTTTGGTGCAAAGGTGACAGGATTTGTTAGAGAGCAAGATTCACAGATTAAAATTCAATCACTGACTAAACATTGGCTACCAGAAGATGAAATACTTAAGGTCATAAAACATAGTGGTCCCTACTGGAACCAATACACTGTAGGCAGACTCTATCCACACATCTAAGCAGCAAATTTATTATAGCTTGCTTTGTATGGAGGCAGTGGAAATGAGGGATTTATGTATAAAGAACTGGTGAGACAACAAAATTACTCAATTCACACAGGTATTAGGCACTTTTCATCAATTACGTTTCCCTATCACAGTATACTCAGCTTCTGTTAGAACCCAACTGTGTTCTAATAAGCCCTTATATCTCACTGAATGTGTTAGTTTTAAATTCAGGAAGCCCTTAATGAAGCCAAAATAAAACAAAATCTGGTCTTCACATTGTATTTCCACCATTCAGGGACTGGAATACCATGAGAAGACCAGATCAAGTTATTTTAGCACCACAAAAGGCTCTGGAGGCATTATGAAAGGTTCATGTAATCACATATACATATAAAAGGCCCAAATACCCAACACCTCAGTACTAGATTCCATACATACACCCATTTCCTACCAACACATCACCCCAAATGGGGCGGATCCTGATTAGTTAGGTGTCCATCTTTTCTGCCAGTGCAGCACCCTAGCAGCTGAGATTCCCTGGTGGTCAAGCCACCAGTGAGAAGGCTGGAAGGAGAGCATTTTCAGTGAGGTATCCTCAACTGTAGCACATGTATCCTGCTTTGGTTCATTAAAGTCTGAATTTGTTGACCTTTAGGACACACTGTGAATCTTAGGGATTGTCTACACTACCACCTAAGTCCAAGTAAGTTACATCACTCAGGGGTGTGAAAAAAACAATCCCTGAGTGACGTAACTTACATCAACTAAAAGCAGTGTCTACACCGCGCTATGTTGGTGGGAGACACTCTCCCATCAACATAGCACATCTTCACCAGACCCGCTAAATCAGCTCCATTGCATCGATGCAGCGGTGCTGATTTAGTGTGGTAGTGAAGACAAGCCCTTATTTGTTCTCCCAGGCTATTCCTGGGGGTGAGGCAGGACAAGCCGATCGGTGGATGCAGTAGCAGCAGTTACATTTTAGAGGGCTACTCTGCTGGACATTATTCCTAACTGGCTGTATTTCTATACAAAATGTACATTCACCCAGACCACTGAACGGGTGGTGCTTCTTTCTTAATTGACAAACGGATTCTCCTGAATATGTCAAATTCAGCTCTCTCATACACCGGTGGAAACCTGGAGTGCCTCCTGGAAATCAAAGAACTTTCCCCAGATTTACACGGTGGCATTTGAGACCAGAATTTGGTCCTACACTTTTAAAACCTTTTGAACACTCACTTTAGCCAACATAAATAAGTCCTGAACAGCATGACAATACAAACGCCTAAACATACCTTGGGTCCTAGC